GGTTTCAATTTGAATTGAAATATTAAAAGTAATTTTTCCATGTTTCTGCTTTTAAAGTTTTTCTTATTACTAATATGAAAAAACATGTAGATTTAAAAAACTACAAATAAAAACGAGTCAAGTATTTTACAAGATTATTCTGGTTATGAAGGAAAAAGATTGTGGAGTTGTTGACTACAGCAGAATTGCTTCTCTTAAAGCGATGGAAACTATTTGAAAAACCACTTTACTTAGTTTTTTATTTTCCTATCGTTTCTGCTCCATAACAGAGCTGAGTGGCAATGTCTAAATGGTCGACTAGCTTTTAGCCAGCAGTGAAGTTTTCAACATCCTTGTCTTTAAAAGCCTGTCAGCTTTAAATGCAGAAGCAGAATGGAGCAGGAGGAGGACTACAGGTTCCAGACGGAGAAAGTGCTGAAAAATGAATCCCTTCTACCTGGAGAGCCTCTGATCCATAAAGTCAAGTCCTTTTTTTAGTCGCTCCTTAGGTAAAATATTGTTGTTACTTGATATTTAAAGGTTCATTGGATGTGCGGGCGAGCATTATAGTTGGAAGAGTAGATATTCCTAAAGAGAAACATCCAGGGGGAAGAGTCAGAGGTTTTTCGCCAACCTTCAGATGGAACATGGCTGCTTAAAAAGATGTCATAGTAGCTGCAACAGTTATTGGTTTGTATTTATTAAAGTATAACTCAAAGTAGTCAGTGCCAAGAGACTTTTAGGGCAGGGCGGAATGTGTGGAAGAGTGGCAGGGATGTGGTCAGATGGAAACAATGTGAGCCAGAGTAGCAACTAGCCTAGAGTGAGCAGAGGGATGCTGGGAGTCACACCATGGACAGATGCTTTGTGGTAAAGGATTTTCAACCTCCTCCATAGGTTGAGGGAAACTTTGGGGAAATGAGTGGGCCAGAACTTTATTATTTCAAGCCGCTTGCTATCTCTGAGATCCCCACGGTCGATGATCCGGCAGTGGAGTACCGGATGACTCTCTGCAGAGGTGAATGTCTGAGGAGTTGTATTCAAACCCAAATACAGTGACAAACACCAGTACCCATGGGTGAAAGTAGTTTGAATTCTTTCCATTACTATATACAACAAAATATTTGGCTTATATTCTTTTCTTACACCCTGCATGCATTTTAAAGGATTAGATTTCCTTTGAATATAGACCAATATAACCTGGATATAGCAGCTTAATTACACTTTTGTATTTAAGTTTTGAGTCTTCTGTTTCTTCACTTTAGCCATTCAAGAAAAATAATACATATTGAAATATTTTGGGCTGACTAATATTTTATGATTTATTCAAAATGAATTTAGACCATCCATCCATTTTCTGAGACGCTTTATCCCAGCTGGGGTCAGGAGGGGTGCTGGTGTCTATCTCAAGCTGTCTACGGGCCAGAGGCGGGGTACAACCTGAACAGGTCGGCAGTCCATCGCAGGGCATCTCTAAATCAACTATTTAAAAATATTTAACGCTCAATGTGCTGTCACCATTTAGTCAAGGTCTTTAGTAAAATGGAAAAGCCTTCATTGGCATCACGACAATGAAAATTATCAGGGATAGTACTTTTGAAGCTATACTCAGGCTGCTGCGACACCTACATGCTTTTTGAGAAAGATAAGGAGATTAGCAGGTATTTTAAATCTTGTTTAACAAGAACTAAACTTACATAATAACAGTTTCAAACATGGCATTTACTTACTGTTTTTGACACACCTCATATGGACCTGATGTAAAAAAAAACATACCATGAACCACCAAACCTGCCTTATAATGCCATGAAAATCCAGGACTCAATTAAAAACAATGTGTTTGCTGAAATGTAAAATTTTTTAAATAATAATAGTGAATAGACAAAATATTTTAAGACAATACAAGGAAAATTTTACATCTTATTTGAATAGGAAGAAAAAGGGTAACTATTATAAAGAACTATTTCTAATTAAGTCTGTATGGCTTTTTATCCCCAAAGCAGAACAAAACAGTAAGAATATGAAATATTCTTTCTCTATATGATATAGGAAATTCCTTTGGTAGAAATTAAAGGTCTCTCTTTTCACCTCTATTGAGCTGGAAGAAATTAAATCCTGTAAATTAGACAAAAGGATTTGCTACACTTGGCTGATGGTGTTGTTAAGACACATACAGTTTAGTAAGCAGAGACAGCAATGAGCAATGAGCTGTTGAGTGCACCACCAAAGTGCAAGCACAGACACAGACCTAAGCAAAGACAAAGACAGAGGTTGTCAGAGTTTAGCGCTCATCAGACACGTATTTATTGAAGCAAGGGTGCGTGAGATTTCAAAGCTGCAGACTAGTCTCACTGCGCGCTCGGATTGCTATCTGTGCGCTTAGGTTGATGGAACAAAATATCAAGCAGCAGGTCTTCCATGAACTGCGTAACACCCCAATATCTTTTACGGGTAGACACAACCAGTCTGTTTCGGCTTATTTTAACACCTGTGATTTAGGCCTGATAACAGCATGTACTGTTTGAAACAACAGGAAAATAAAATGCAATAGCCCTATCAATGCCTTTGGCAGCAATGAGGTGGCTTTAAGATAAATGTTCTGGAACTAAAAAGTGTCACATTAAAATGTACAAAAAGAAGCACATTTGGGGGTGAGTTAAGCTTTAAGTCTGCACACAGAAAATGTTCTTATTTTGATTCAAACAGTTGTGGCTGCTGGTTTCTAAACCATGAGAGGCTCAATGATGTTAATTAATTCCACACCTAACGTAATACATGAACGCATTTTTCCTGTCTAATGAGGAAAACCTCTCCTCTGTGTGATCACTGTCAGTCAATTTTTTTAGTGTGTTCTGCGTGTCAGCATCGCGCAGCCAGCTTCATGACCTGCCCTGGCCCACCCCTGCTCCATACACCCCATAAGATGCTGACCCTCACTGGAAGTGATGGATTTTTGTGTATCATTGAATCAGGGCTCCACTTTCTCACTGATTGCTTCAATGCATATAGGCTCAGAACACAACAGGGCTTTTCTAATAAAGACTGACAGGCAGTGTTCTTCTGCTCCAGAGCGGAGGGTGATCGGGTCACAGCTGATTAATCATACTCAACATACTCATGAACTAAAGGGTTTTTGAGGCACATTTAATGCAGACAACATTTATGTTGATTGAAAATACATATTTGAACAATAATTTTACAAACTTTAATGGTGAGTTTTAGGCTGCCTAGTATTCAATGAGAAATCATCACTGGTTTTTGAATATCTAAAATCTAAATAAATTCACTGTTGTCAGCTTGTTTTTCTAGGCTTAGTTTGCCAATCTAGATAGTCAGTAGGATTAGCAACTGGTTTTCCATTATGCAACAGGAAGGCGGTGAAGGTGGGTTTCAGTATTCATTAGTACTTTATTCACTTCGACCATTTAGGTTTGTACCCCGGGTTTGAGCAGGCTTTGTTTGAACTAAAGTTTGATGTGCTTGAAAAACTTTTCAGGGCGTTTAATTAGCTTTGTGTGAGCATTTTATTTATTCATTTATATATATTTTTTTAGTTTTTACTGCACTAGTGGCTTGTTTTTTCGACAGTAGGCTGACAGGAAAGGGGGTATGAGAGAGGGGGATAGACACGCGGCAAAGGACCACAGGTCTGATTTGAACCAGGGTTAGGCGTTGATGACTAAGGCCTCTATGCATGCGTTGTGAGCGCTCACCACTACACCACCTGCATGCCCTCGTGTGAGCATTTTAAATTGTTAATGTACACTTTTTCATACGGTGGTAAATGTATCCCAAGTACCACTTTTTTCAAACTATTTTTGAGAAATTTGGAATTTGAGGCAAGGGCTATTGTTGCTGATTAAAAACAGAGATGTAATGAATTAAGCATTATCATAGTCAGAAATATGTTGCACCTTCTGTTGTTTAGTTTTTAATCCACTGCTGAAAAAAAAACACTACTCTTTATAAAGCAGGTTTCAAGCACCTTCTTGCACAGCAGCTGTCAGATCAGTTTTGGAAGATAGAACTTTGTTATACTGATTTTTTTAATTACCTGTTAGATGAAGGCCTGGAGAAGTTGCTCTATGTCACTGAATTTGTCTACCTACTCAACAGAAAGTTTAAATGTTTATTGCTCGGTCGTGAGATGCATTCTAAGTATAACCCAGAAAAATGAAATCCATCATCAGCAAACCCACTCTGCGTTGATGGAAGAAACAAATGTCCTCCTCTGCATTTTCTGTGGAGGTAATAACCACCATCTGCTCTGCTCGTTTGCCTGACGTGCAGCCCCATATCATACCTGATTTTTCTTGTTTCCTTCAATCACTCATATTTAGATGTTTAAAAGGATCCGAACAAACGTTGCAGCATCGTCTCGTTGGCTGATGCAGATCAGGATTCGTCCAATCATCTGCCCTCTTTTACTTCTCTTTGGCAGACTGAAACCTTGTGTTGTGTTTTCTCACAACTACTTACTTAATTATTTCCCAATTTATTAATCATTACATTGGTTGTCCATTAGCTATTTTGGGGAATTCTGCTTTGACTTTGTATTTCTTTTTTTTTATTTGTTCCAAACTAAAATCCAGGTGATTCTGTAAAAACAAACCAACCCAATTCTGGAAGAAGTTTTGCAACCTTTTTCACCTTTTTACAGTTCATGCTGACATCTTTCTTTATGAGGGCCTATTTCCTGTCAGTAAACCAGCCGTAGTTGCTCAATATGAACTTTTAATGGCAGATTAAAAAAATTACACACATCCAGTTTTTTTTGTGAGGTTATGAGAATGAAAACTTAATTATATTGTAGTAAATCCAAAAAAGAAACGGTTTAATTTATTTCCTTTATTTATATATGTCTTTTCTGTTAATTATTTTTTTACCCTAAGGTTAAAAAAATTCTCCAGAGCAGGAATTTTTTCACTATGAAATTTATCAAAAGTTCCCTATACTTGTCTCCAGTAGTGAGACGTTTGTCTGTGTTTTAAACGTACTCATCCTCTTTTTCATCACGTTACCTTTCAGAGGATAAACATATGGCTCTCCATCTGGACCAAAGAACGATGTCCCGTCATCCCCATCGGCTCTGGGGTCATCATCTAGCGATGTGTTCCCTCCTGGAAAAAAGATTGGCAAAATAATTATAATTATCAATTACGGTAAGACGTATTAATTGTTAGTAACTGCTTCTATATAAATGGAACTCTGCTGTTGGACTCATTCTGAGAGCGTTTAAGATCAGCATTATCTGCAATCATCCAGATTCTTTTTTCCTAGCCACTGACAGGCTGAGCTGGGTTTTATCAGTTTCTGTCTGCATCATGGAAAGGATCTCTGAAGTGTCACTAAAGCCGAAGTCGCTATCTGAAATCTTGTGGGAGGTGACGTGTCGAGAGCTGTTTTAAAAGTAAAAGTGCTAAAAGAAAAATGTTCTGTGACTCTGAAACTTTTGCAGCACTTTAGCAGGTTTGGAATAGGTTAAGGATGGGGTTATTTGGGCTACATCTGAATGCTGCTTAACAAGCTGGACTGAATGTGGTTTGACAGGCTAAAAACAACAATGTTTTTCTTGACTGCCATTCAGAAAACAACATGGTAAACCAACTAATGCAAATACTTCTCCCAAACAGTTTTAAAGTTATCTTCTAGAATTCTATAATAATTCCTGTCTTAAGGATTTCAATAAAATGTCAACAAGGAGTGTCTCCTTGTTGTATGAAATTAGTAGTATTTGTTTGAAATAAGAGAAAATTTTCTTCCAAAGACTTATCTAACAGTGCCATCGTCTTTCCACTACTTGTCCATCCATCTATTGTAAATGTTTTAATATTAGAAGGAGAAGATATTTTCCTCAACCATCCATCTGCCAGTTCTTTTATCTTCTCTCAATCCATCTATTTGTCCATCCATCATGACTATTACATTTGCAGTACATTTATTGCATGGAAAGAAAACAAATTTTCTGCTGGAAATCTGGGCCTGAAGAATAGGAAATTTGGACATAAAAACATTTAACGTGCATGAAGGGAACAACCTTTGTTAGTTTGGGTTGATCAAGTTTTAAACCTGATCCAAATTATCCTCCAACTTCATTCAAAGGTGAAACTTCAAGCTCAGTGTTTTCAGGGGTGCAGGGATTAATATTTAGGAATATGGAACCCAAAAATATTAAAAGTTAACTTTAAATTTAGAGCCATAAAGACAAAAAAAGAGATGAAAGCAGTGCAGATTGCAATAAACAGAAATGTTATTTTAACAACTATAAAAAACAAGGTATTGCCAGGCAGCTTGAAGCAGTTTATTTATCAAACTTGGTAAAACTGACAGATCCTCATGAACTCACCTCTGTAGCCTCCGCCGCCACCTCCTGACACACATCCACCTCCTCCGCCCCCAAAGCCACCGCGGGTCTGCCAGAACTTCTGACAGGCCTGCCCTCCCTGGCCCCCCAACACCAGGGGTCGGCCACCCTTGCTGATCGGAGTACTGTCATTCCAACCTCCGCCTCCACCTGTCACCAAACAAAGACGCACATTTCATGTCATCTGAGGTAAAGTGCTTCGGAAGTTGGAAATTTCTCACATAGACAGTCTTCCATCAATACGTGTGTGCAGTGACTATGTAGTCATTGTCTCTTTTTTTTTAACCTAGTTTTAGTTGGAAAGGAGGCAGGAAAAGCCACCATCAAACAAGGTTGCATTTAATGTCAGTCAGATGGTGCTCTCTGTGGGTCAAGAGCAAGTTGACCTGTCAGAATGTCACCAAATAGGGAAGACTTGGAGAAATTACAGACCTGCAGCTCAGATCGGGAGGACTTACAAATAAAAATCAAGGCTTGGCTTTTAAAACTGAGAAATACTGCCAAACAAGCAGCTATTCCTAAAACATAATTAATGCTTTTTAGATTTTCAAGTTCTCCTGGAGATGTTCTCTTGGGATGAAAACGCTGTTGCATTAAGAAAACACCAGAACAAAACAAGCAGACGGGGTAAACAAAGCCTGGGTTGATGTACTTACAACAAAGTAAACATCACAATTCTGTTTTTAAATGCTCAAGTATTGTTCTGCAGGCTTCAAACAATCAATGTATTCATGCAGTTTGCATCCTATCAGGAATCAGCACCATATTCTTCAATAACACGTTTAGACTGTAGATTGCATAACCATCAGACATGTATGCATGTCATAAAACAATTTCATATTATAGAATATGAATTAATATTAAAATAGATGAGTTTGATAATAATAATTTGAGATTCACACTCAGACGACAATTTTGCAAAGAAACAGGGTTTGTTTTCAAGCTGGAACTGTTTTTCCACTTCTGCCAAAAATGGTTTTATTGACTTCTGCGTGGAGAGCAGACTACACTTTCCTTTCCTGCCGCTTTTTAGGCAGGGTGTGATTTTTCAGTTCACTGATCTCTGCCGTCATCTGCAGGCTGTAACAGCAAGAGGAAGGTTTACCCCATGTTCTGTTATGCATCACCAGGTGTTTAGCCATGTGTCGGTTGGTTAGAAGAAGGTAGAGAAGTGCAGAATCCATATCATGTCCTGCTAATAAATTAACTCAGCAACATAATATTGGGGTTAAATTATTGTAAATAAAGGATTTAAAAAAAAATGATTGACAGTATATAGGACAAAGGGAAATACAGGCATACAAATCTGATCATTATTATATGTTTTAAACCACTGGTTTAAAATGAAGATGTAACGTGAGAGTTGAAGAGGGATTTGACTTCAATAAAAAAAAAAATTTAATCAAAAGTATTTTCCAACTCAGGTCCCTGATTGACTCTTTTCAATTGCGAAACAGAGCACAATTATAGCACTGCATAGTGTTTGAGCACAAGCTCATACACAGAGGAGAAATATTTATGAAACATCAATTAAGACTTTACAAAACTCCGTCAGGGTGTAAGCAAGCTGCTTTTCCCTGAAATGAGTTATTTTGCTGACACTAATGACAGAATGAATGCATACACAACTCTTTCAGCTGTATTCACACACAAACAGGACTAAAGCACATCAAAGCAGTGTGTGTGCATCTGCCTGTGCTTATGTTGTGTACCTGAAGCGTGAGATTTCCCATTGCGTCCCGGTATGCTGGGGTCATAGTCCATCTGCTCCAGCTGGGTTTCTGATTGGCTGTTGTAGCCGCGGCCGCCTCCGCCAGCAGCGATGATGAGAGGGATGTAAACTGCTCTGTCCACCTATGCCAATATTTTTAACACTGTTAGAGTAAATTAGAATGAAGGGAACATTTAATCAGTTTGATAAAAAAAAAGAAGGGGGGAAGTGAAAGAAAGCAGGATGTGAGCTTCCTGGAAAGGCTGAGACTAAAACTCTGGATCCCTTAGACAGAAAGTTTCCTGCCTGCTGCTGTCTGCAGAAAGGGTTAAGCGTAGAGGACAAATTTTGCAATGAAAATTGGAGGTGATTATCATAGTAATTACAATTATGATTATAATGTTAAACTGAGGATTTATAAAGGTTTCCAATTTTTTATAATAATTCCATTAATTCTTTCAAATGTACTCTCTTCAATCTCAAGTAAATTTTCTTTTGGTTACGAAACACAAAGAGCACGTTTTTTATCTAACAGTTATAAATCTGTTTTGGATCCAAAACAAGACTTAAAACTAAATGTATTCACATCATTATGGTGTCTGTAAAAGTCCAATGTTTTCACTTAAATTGCAAGGTTTACTTCTGAGAGTGCATCTCCTGGTTAGACTTCTATACATTTGAAGAAATATACATGATATATACAAGTAATATACATGAAGAAATATAGTTTCTAAAATCACATTTAGGAATAAAATAAATAAAAAAGCATTGATTAAACTAAATTCGAACCGTCTGGACAGAGCATTAACATCCATGGGGGAAAAAAATCAATATACTGTGACATTGTACCTTCTGTAGATGAACAAAGTGTTTTCTTAAATCTACCTTTCTCATAGCTCATCCAAAGTAGGCAGTTATCCTAGAACTACTGAAATTATTTCGGATTACACATAAATAGATTAATTAATTCTGTGGGGAAAAATTTATTACTTCAGGGTTAGGGTTACGATTCATTCAGTGATAATAAACTATGGGACAGATAACCGCTAATAATGACCATTTAATGAGATGTTGAAATCTGAAGCGTTTGCAAACAGCCAGTTAATATTTACTGTGTATGGATGATGGAAACAAAATGAGAAGGAACCCATAAGATGATGCACAGGTCCTACCTGTCTAAGCAATGCTTTTATCCTTCAGCTTCTCCTGTTGCCAGGTGATTTCACCTAAATAGATAAGTTGATCCACTACCATTCAAGCAATAAACTAGTTTTCCCCCTAATATTATTGTGGTTACATCAGACTATGTCAGGCCGTTAATATTTATTGGTTTTTCTGAATATGTATTTCTGAAATCTGAAAAAAATATTTTCTTCTTTAAAATGAACATTTCACACAAAATGACACTCTTCATATCTAAAATAAACATTCTGGAATTTCAGATCTCCATATTCCTGGTATAGTTTGTGCTACTTTAAGTCGACCTACTCAGAGATGATCAAACTAACTTACAGCAGCCTTTGCACAACCAAAAACTCAGATTTTCCAACATCAGGCTAGATCAATTTAGAGTTGAGGATTTGAGTCTGAGTCTACTTAGCTTTAGTCACTCAGCAACATTTTATTGCAGTTTACATTCAATACAATTTCATTGTCATACTATCAAACATTTGGATGTTTTAGGTCCCAGTTCAATAAAATTAATATTAAAGAAAAAAACAAACAAAAAAAAAACAAATAAAGGAACAAATATGTGTGGCTCAAGTTCATTTTTCAAGCAGCTGCAGGGTTGGAACTGTTTCTTAGCCTGTTGGTCTTGCTCTGGATACTCCTCAGCACTGTGCCTGAGGGAGAGTCTAGCACAGTCTCTGTGCAGGAAGGATTCCTTCAAAATGCACCCTTCCCCTTGGATCTTGATGCATGAACGCCTCGGGTGGAAGGAAGGCTTCTCCCTACAGTCCTCTGTGGGGCCTTCACCACCGTCTGCAGAACCACCCTTCAGCAGCAGCGCAGCTGCAATGCCAGTTGATGTAGATGCAGTTGCAGAGAACATTGTCCACCACAGCGATAACATTTCTTTAGAAATGAGCTCCTGAATTCAGCTCTCTGCAGCTTCCTGAGCAAGTAGAGACGCTGATGGGCTTCCCTGATCAGACAGGAAGTGTTGACACATAAGGTCACTGGATAAATACGCAACCAGGTACCTGTAGCTGGAGACCACCTCCACAGCCAATCCTTGAAGGCACAGGGATGAATCTCTGTCCTTTCTAATATCCAACACCATCTCCTTAGTCTTTTTTCACATTGAAAAAAATTTTATTGTCTCTGCAGCACTGCACCAGATGTTAGACCTCCACTCTGTATTTGGACTGCTTTGTCGTCTGCAAACTTTACTATGTGACAGCTGGTGTGTCTAGCTGTGCATTCGTATGTTAGCAAAATTAACAGGAGGGGGCTCAGCATGCAGCCCTAGGGCAAGCTAGGTCTGACTGTTTAGGAGGAGATGGTGTGAATCCTGACAGTTTGAGATCTATAGTCAGTAAGTCAATGACTTAGTTCCCAAGTGCAGGACTCATTCGAAGAGAGGGGAGCTCTGCACTAAGGTCAGCACTAAGGTCTAATGGTAGTGTTGAAGTTCATGGAGAAATCCAAGAGCAGTGGGATGTAGGAGTTTCTGCTCTCCAAGTGGGTGAGGGCTGTGTGGACCACCGAGGACAAAGCATCAGCAATGGATCTGTTCCTTGCGTAGGGGTAGTGATGTGGGTCCACAGTGACACTGGTGGAGTCCTTAATGTGGGTCATAATATCCTCTAAAAGCATTTCATGACTAGCATGAATGACTACTTTTTGGTCAGTAGTCATTCAGGCCTACAGCTGAGGATTACTTGGTAACAGAGACAAAAGTTGTAAACTGTATGCAGGTTAGGACAGATGCAAGTGACAGTAAGGTTTTAAATATATCCACCAACACTTCAGACAACTATTGGGGACTGTCCCTTAGAACCCACCCAATAGGGGCCAATAGTGTTATGAAGATTGATTCTCTGGAGGATCTACCTCACTTCTGCTGTGGTCCTACAGAGGGGGATGTTACCAGGTGGTAAAATGGATCTTGTGCTAATGGGGGTCTTGGGGTATAGAACCTGTTCAGTGCACCTGGTAAGGAAGGAATTTAGATTGTAGCCCATTTTGCATTTGATGCCCTTCCACATGCGTTGTGGATCATTGGAGGGGGGAAGTGACCATACATTTTCAGGGCATATGTGGCTCATCGTTAAATTTTTTTATTTTCAAATATAGTATAACATCAGACTTTTAAAGCCAAAATGCTCACAGTGTTCTTACGACCTTCATTTCTTCTTTGGTGTATTTGAAATAAATCAAACATGTTTTCTCGTCTAAAGATATTTCAGCATAAAAATTGTGGTTTGCCTTTAATTAGTTTGATACATTTTTAATGTTTTTTTCTTCTTGTGGCTTTAAAAAAATCCCTTTGCCTTAAACATTTTGTATTTGTTCCATATTTGAACAGAAAAAATATTCCATTGCTGACATTTTTCCTGTTTGACCCTGACCTTAAACCTATATGCATAATGTAATAGCTGTTGGTAAATAATTAAAACCACCCATCCTTTGCAGACCTTGATCCGTGCTTACCTTGAACACATATGTTGCTCCACCGCCTCCTCCTCCACCTCCTTTCACTTGGGTTCTGTTCACCATAGGGCCACTCTGCTCCAAGCAGATCTTATTCAGCATGATGTTGGACTGCAACAGTGGGAAATAGGATGTCAGTTCGCTAAGACGTTTCATATCATGGATATCAGATATGTAAAGACGAGGCATCAGCCGAACCCCAGCTGATTTGAGTTCAGGAGTTTAGCTTTGCAGAAGTGATCACACATATCCTCATGACTGAAGCAGGCAGGTTGTGTTTTAGAATATACTTTGATCAGATTTTTCTTTATATACATGTTGCATAATAAAAAAATATTTGCAACCCTGAGACATTTTACTGTGGGATGGAACCAAGAGCCCTTTGTATCCCCATATGGAGAGAAAAGTGCTGCTGTTCTCCTCTCCTATAAAAATGAAGCTGGACAGTTTGCTGGCAAATGATGTCAGAAGCAGCGCCTCTACTCAAGCTCAGATTTCAGGGACTGATGTGTCGTCTTTCTGTGTGCTATCATGCTGAACAGCCTGCAGCCAGGCCTCCTTTAAGTGTAAAGGGGCACAACACTTTCTTTCTTTCGCTCTGTCTGAGCCTCAACTCCCAGATCTGTCTGAGCTGAAACTCTAAGAGGCCTTGAAGGGAAGACAGGGAGGAAGTCTGACTGTGATTGACAGGTGGGGGGGGCTCAAATGATCCAAAAGAGCCCCTTCTTTTTTTTATGTTCAACTTTCTCACTCTGTAAAGATAGACTTGTGTGAGAGGAGCTGCACGTGTGAATGTGTGTGTGTGTGTGTGTGTGTGTGTGTGTGTATTTCTCAAGACAAAGTAGCCCTCATCTCCAAAGGGAAATCTTGGAGTGAGGTGTTGGTCTTGTTGTCAGAGCTTTTCACTTTCAGTTAAACTTTGTAACACCCTCTCTCCTGTGAGCATAGAGAACTTCAAGACATGTCGGCCAAAAAAGCTAATAATCGCAGGACAGATGAGAGGACCCCTTGTTTTTGTTCTTTAGCAAAACCAAAACCACAACACAAACTAGCCAAGTGGGAATAAAAAGACAAAACATGGATTTAGCTGAGCAGTAACCACCCATAGAACTGTTGGAAGGGGGCACACACAATTACAGGCTCTGGAGAAAAGCCCGGGCTGCAAAAATGTCACATCTTGCTCCTAAACAAGCTAACTAACTTGTTTATCTGTTCCAGGAAAGCTATAAAACAAGGAAATTAGCAACTGGCCCTTAAAAACATTCTGAGTAGTTATTAGAATCTCTTTGTTTTTCTTTTTTTCTGTAGTTTCTCTGAAGATTTTCTCAATGATCTTTCTGGAAAAAAATTAAAAAGAAATTCTTTCCAAAGTATATACTGAAGTACTCTCTGAGACATGAAACCTGGTATATAGAAATCAAAGTTTTAACAAAAAACAACTTAGGGTTTTAAAGAATGCCTATTTAAAGTATCCAAGTCCAACTTTTCTCAGAACAATGAGACATCATTGGCAGCTCCCATGACCCATTACAATAAATTTACAAATGTAATCAAACTAAACAAGATAATATCTCTTAGTCTGGGAGAATCTTTACACAGAAATCCATCCATAAAAGTGTTGAAAGTCTTTGCAACATTTACCCAAAGGTAATTGTCTTTGGCTACCACAATACAATTATTAATTTGTCACATATGAGAAAAATTTCCATGGTAGACATATAAATAACAGTAAACTTATCCAAGAAGATTTTTTATTTATTTTTTAATCAAGGAGAGAATGAAGAGTAGCTCTTCTACCAATGCTTGCATGTTTTGATCGAGAAAAATTAAGACTTGTTCTGTTTTAAATACTGACCAGATACGCCAGAACCAATTTAATGTGCACTAAAGTCTTACATTTGTTTTACAGTATATATTTTTTTATAGATTTGCTGCAGATATTTCATAAAATTGATGATGAATGCATGGACTCACATTGGGGCAGGCATCCTCTCCTTGTTGTCCCACCAGGATATAAAGTAGCTCCCCTCTCCTGAGCTGAAAGTCTCCCGTTATATATACACCATGTGATCTGCTCATGGCCATCACGCTTCGCCCACCAGCTGCACCGTAGGCGGTGATCCTGAGGGGCAACAAACATTTAGATGAATAAAAAGCAAGACACATATAAAGATATGAAGAAGGGAAACCAAAACATTGGGTGAGAGTGTTTTTGGAGAATTTCTCTTATGGGAGCTTTAGATTCACTACTGTTTTCAGCTTATTTTAAAGGGCCACATCAAATTAAATACAGGCAATGTGTGAACAAATCTTAACAACATATGCTGTCTACAATGGTGCTAGTTTTCTCATATATGTAGCCCCAGGCTTTTCAGTTGCTTGTGTGCAGCTGGTTTATTGTGATTGGAACTTCTAGAGACGTCTACCAAAAGTTAAATCAAGGCTTAAACGGCTCATATCTTGAGGTTTGCCACAGGAATGATATTGATTTTTTTAAAGGCTGCAACAATAATCCTGGAGCACCCCACACCTTAAAGTTAACACACTAGCTCTAAATCTGGATAAATTTTCAAATGTTGATGCTCCACCATGGCAAGAAAGGTGGACAGCATTGGATTCAGGTGCAGAGTGATTCATGCCACATGTCCTCCCTCCTGATGAGAATCTGTAATCTTTCTGTGCTTGCTGGTAGAGGATTGATGCATGAAGCAGTAGAGTTAGGCGTAAGGATAGAGTCAAATTTTCTGCAAAAATATCAGATGTACAAAGGGTGGAGTGTGTAATGTGTACCACTACCATCCATCAGGGTGAACTCAAACACGGTAGGGCTGAGCTGGGGGGGTGGGCAAGCAAATTCACTCCAGCCCTCTGCCTCTCCCTGTAGGCTGCTCCATAGTAGACAAGAGTCCAGTCTTTCTGAATGTGCTGGATTTCAGAGGTCAGGGTATGTATAGAGGTCAGCCTGAGTATTTCCAATCAGTACTCACAGACAAACCAAAACCCCTAAGGCTGGCTCCATAGTGAAGTCCCAACTCTACTGTACCAGGTGATCTACATTTTTTTGGATTTCTGCACTTCTATTTGTAGTCTTCACCCAGAGCCTGTTTGCCAAGGGAGGCCTTACCAGGAGGCCCTGATAACATAGTCTATTGGATCATCCACTTAAAACCCCTTCACCACATTAAGGTGGGGGTTGAAGGAAATGTATATCTACCTTTATCTGGTAAAATTCCCTTTAAACATAACATAATTACTATAGTTTTTAAAGATTTGAAAACAGATGGATGCAGTGGAGGCGTTCTTGTGACCTTTTAAGCTACAGATAAGGGTAATTTACAATTAATGTAATCTAATGCAACACAATTTAGAAGAACTCGGTTATCAGGAACAGTTGGGTTATGTGTTATTCTTAGGTACAAAGTCCTGAGGAAGCCATGCGAATCGGCTCAAACACCTGTATGCAAGCAAGGGAATCAGCACCCATTATGTAAGTTCGGAAAGAAACAGGTTTTGTGTGCCAGAAACCGACAGTAGCTGATAACACAGTTTTCCTAAATTACCAAAAACCAGAAAAGTTTTTATTTTTTTTAATTTAATGGTTGATGGTAACAGATGTTTTGTCTTCTAATATACAGTACATGTAAATATCTGGTTTTATCTACATACATGGTTTTCACAATGCTTTGATTTTTAATTGGGATAAGAAAAATAGCCTGAAAAAACATCTGAATTTCTGGATATTATTTACCATACCACTGTTAAAAAAGTTTTGTCTGTTAACCCAGTCTGTTTTCTTTAGATTTGATCCACTAACCAGTGTTTTTGCCTTAAACTTACAGTGAACTGTTACAATTCATGGTTAAAAATAGGAGAGAATAAATCATGAACACTGTGAAATTGGGTCAGGAACAATCTAAAATTTTGGCATGAAGGATCTGCTGAAGCCTTGAATATAAATTAGCCCAGTGAAAACTAAATATATGCTACATTGGCAGCAGGCCTACCTGTAGGTGCCAGTTTCAGGGACCCGCCACATTTGAATGCCTTTGAAAGGCCCGTGGGTGCCGACCGTCACGTTGATGTTGCTGCTTCTGTAGGAGTTGAGGCACTGAGTGGGAGTCGGGCCCTCAGGACCCACAGCCCCACAGGTGTGAAAAATCCATTTCTTGGGTTCAGCTGAAGGAAAAGGAAAAAGAAAATGGTTTAGCTCTTTGTGAAACACACACAGCTGTAAAAAGACAAATAGTTTGACTCGGTCACACATGCAGACTCCTAGATGATGAGTTGGCTGACATTCAGAGCACAACACGACTCCCAGTTCTTCCATTCTTCTGTCATTCAACACTTCAACATCTCCCACTGCTCCATAGCAGATATAAAGCACATTATTACACAAGGTGAATGTAAGATCATAGACATAATAGCAGCAGAGAGTTCCTGAAAGGATCACAGGTGATAAACAGTTTTCTTCATTTTGCCTGTAATCCCATGAGTCAAAGCTAATTTAGGCTTTTTTCCTTTGTAATTAGTTCAACATCACTCTAGTCAGATGGACACGTAGGATCTAACAGCTGCAGTGCTATACCCTGATTTAAGATGCAGCCCTGAGGCAGATTTCTGTCTCAGAGTAATCCTTCTTCCAATAAAGTGTTTCATGACTTGTGACAAAAAGGAGGGTCATGGGGATGACAAAAAACAAAAATTGGTCATCTTTCCTTGTTTCTAAAACAGAATCTAAGAAAAAATGTATGTGAAAACCTAAATCAGACTTTACAAGATTCTGGAGCACTGCACTGAGATGACAACCAAAGCCAGATGCTCCTAATCAAAATTATTGAATAATGAATCATCTTCAGTATTACCATTTAATTAAAAGTAGCAGTATGATCAAAACAAGGCTATCAACTCTCACCCATTGGGCGTGAGACTCACGCATATCAGTGTCCTCACACGCTCTCACTCCATATACGTAATTTTTCATGCAAAAAAATGACATACATTAAAACTCAACTCCATTTCACTTATTTATATATAAATATACCACACTGATAAAAATGCAGTCCGTGTTTTCAACACAACCTTAGTTCTAACACACAAGTTTTTTATTTTCAACATCATCATATGAAGTAGATTTGCCACATTTACATTAACTCATTGCTATTCATCTTAAACAAAGCCACTGGAAACAAAAAATGTAGTTCAATCCAACCACAGGGGACTGAGAGATCAGGATTTTACCACAGTATTCCCCGGTCCTCATGGGAAATGTTGTCTTCCTTAAGGCAAAAATGGGGCTAAAATTAATCAAAACTGTAAGTTCTGTCGAACAACTTTAACTGTTTACCATGATTTGAGCTTGATTCGCCCTTTTGTTTGTTTGCCCAAAACACAGCCACGTCGGTGTGTTCACAGAACTAAACAGTAAGAATGTTCTTTTGATTAAATAACATATTTTCCGGGTTGGGCATTGAATTTAAAGTTATGCCACAACACAGCATAATTAATATTTTTCTGTTTTTGCTTTTGTTAAGACAACATGGTTCTTTAGACAAATGAGAGCAAAATAGAGATATATGAACAAAATGCACAGCATCATGTCTAAACAAATCCTACCAACTGTCAAGCATGGTAGTGATAGAATGATTATTTGGTATTTCAACTTTCTATTGATAAAAAAAACTCTTAAGCTTCACAGTAAAGGGATTCTGCCCCTTTAGAATGTATATGCCAGGGTCTTGTGCAGTCTCGAAAAATAAATCCATCCATCCATCCATCCATCCATCCATCCATCCATCCATCCATCCATCCATCCATCCATCCATCCATCCANATCCATCCATCCATCCATCCATCCATCCATCCATCCATCCATCCATCCATCCATCCATCCATCCATCCATCCATCCATCCATCCATCCATCCTCTCCTGCATATTCCCTCAGGGTTGCGATGGGGCTGGTGCCTATCTACAGCAGTCATGGGCGAGAGGCAGGTACACCCTGGAAAGGTTGCCAGTCTGAAAAAATTTGTTTTTTTAATAAAAATATTGGATAGACTATGGAAGAATTTTTTGTGATGTAATTTTATTATATGTCCCCTTGTCTTGATTTTCAGCTACAAATCCAACAATCCATCCAACCCGTTTTCTAGCAACAGGACCTGGAGCATTAAACCGATTTCAATTATTATGTCACATGTAAACCAAAGTAAGCCAAATGTGAACCAATCTGTTGGTCAAATGAAGATTCACCTAAACCAGGTCACTGACAGGACAGAATCTTCAAGCAAATCTACAACTAAATAGTTGAAATAGGAAAGAATCAAGGTATTACAAAGGGTATTACAGGGTATAACAATTATTTCAAAGAGCTGTGCAGAAACAAATGTCTGTACTATGCCTTAGTATCAGATTATGTAGGAAAGACCCATAATTACAATGCAGTGATTTTTTATTTTATTTCAAGTAAGGTTATATATGGGTAAATAGCAAATATAATAACAGGATCTCGTAATGTTTAAATGGTTATTTATTTAAATTAAGTTTGGCTCAAATGACACAAATTGGTTTTGGCTCTAAACAAAGACAACTCTTGTGTTTGAAAGGATTCCCTCACGTCCAGATGGTTTCCCACTTCAACCCATATTATCGATCTTGTTGGTCCATGAGAGTAAATGAATCCCCATCCAAAACCCACCACACAGCTGGCGTAATGACTAATTCGGTGATGAGCACTTGGGCAGAACAAACAAAAACAAGATGAGCTCTCTGAGATGAGAGTCCTCTCTTATAGCCACTGTTCACACTTGTCTGAGCCACTCACTTCGCTTAAGTAGGAATCCACATGCAAAAGACACCCTTATAAATTCTAACTCTGCCCCAGTATCACATACACAAAGTCTTTTTCCCCAGAACTTTTCCACAAGTAGTGAGCAATTACGATGACAAGCATTGGCCACCATCAGATGGAGGGCCCGCAGTGTGAAGAGGGAAATGGTTTCAGACATGTTGCAACAGAGAGGAAAAAAGAGAAACACAAACAAAACTGGAAGGAGGTACCTCCAGCAATGTCCAAGTAGTCTCTATCCAATCTGAACAATATCAAAACAAGTTAATAGGAAATATGTCTTGACTCACGTCACACTTCTTTAATATGTTTTCAAATATAATTTTTACAAATATAGAAAATAACAGTTTTTTATGGCTAGCAAAGACTCTTTTGAGGGCAGAAAGAATTAGTGATACAAATGTCCGTCTGGCATGTAGGAATCATTGAGAAAACACTAATCAGGAACATCTGAGTAATTCTGCGTATAACAGACGGACAGTCAAAGAAACAGATGGATTGAGCTTTTGTCAGACTACCCTACAAGGCATGTTGTGTCAAAAGCAGAAATCTTCAGATTTTGATATTCTTTTCTCTTGCCATGAAGGCATTTGGCCTGGGTGAATCCATGCCCATAAATCAGGAAACAACTGAGTCAATCAGCTTTGAGGCTGCATTAAAACTGACAGCAGCTCTTTGATCAGACCAACCATTCGATGCACCGGCGGAACAAACACAAGAGAACAAAACAAAAAAAAAAAATCATCTTTTACTTTAGGGCAACATATTGTGATCATCCACAGTGATTACATTTTATGGTAAGTAAGTGAACTGTTCGTGGTAGACTGCTGTATAAAGAGCTTGTCTTGAAACTAGTGTTTCATAAAAAAGGCCTTGGAGTCTCAGATTTGGTCATGTAATTTTTTGTTTCTAATGTAAGGAGACATTGTCTTTTTTTTAGTAGGGATGTTGCTCTGGCAGTTTTAATCCAGTTTAATTCCTTTTTACTGTTCATTTGCCAGCAGCTGGCATGGAACTGGCAAAAACACCAATTGAGTACAGATATTTCCGTAGTATTCCCATCTGATATTTGCTTGTGCAAAATTATGTTATATCATGATATTTTGTTGCCAAAGCGTGCCAGGGTTTTCAAGGCACAACCTCCACTTAATGCCTGAAGGTCTACTTTGTTACTTTTGACCGAAACCGTGCAGCAGATCCCTTGAACCCTATATAATGCAAGGTATGGACCAGACATGTTCACAAGTCATTTTTTGCAAGTCCAAGTCAAGTCTTAAATCTTGAGAGCTGAAGTCTAAGTCAAGTCTCAAGTCTTGAGAAGGCCTGTCGCAATAATCAATTTATCGCACAAAAAATTTTAATCACTTGATTAATAAAAAAAGTGCAATAATTTTCGTGCTTGCTTGTTTCTCCTTGTGTTTTCATTTCCGTCACTGAGACGGTATAGCTTAAAGGTCACTATTATATCTATGGAATGATCATTATCTTGAACTGGTAAATGAAAAATACAATTAAAAAAAACACACATGCAAAATTTTTTTCCTTTATTTTCTTTTCTTTCAAAAACAACTATTTTCTTACAGTATTTACCTGACATTTGTGGTTACAACTTTTTCTAGTTTTAGCAGTAAATGTCTGCTCTTTTATTTATTTTTTTTTATTTTTTTATTTATTTATTTTTTTTAATTT